CGTTTGAAGGCAATGGCAGATAAGAGGTTTTCAGGTGCAAATGAACAAGGCGGAATAGGATCTGAGCAGGCACATCAAAATGAGAAGGTTAAGGATCTCGCCTGACCCTCCTATTTCCATAATCACAATAAACACTAACGCACGCATGAAATATACTCTTATATGGAGCTTTCAGAAACTGTACGCTGATCACACTTTTCTTACTTCTTTTATCAAGATGACAACTCTTTTCTTACTTTGGCAACACTACCCAGTAATACCCTAGAATTTTAGTTGTATGTGTTAAAGCACCTATACATCTGACCATCTAAAAAACAGTAGTTGGTGCCTTCTATCTAATTTGTTCAACTTGTATTAGAAGTTCTTAACCTAGATTCTCCAGCTTTGAGGTGCTATTTACAGTAGAAGCAAGGATGATCACTAATTGCCTTTGAGCATATTACTTAATACAAGCATTTCACGGTGGGTCAGCTCCTTTGGATTCAGAAACAAGATAATCTGAAGTTTACGTTTTTATGTTAATCTTATTTCTTTATGACTCAAAAATGTTTTTGACACAAATAATTTAAGTGCAATTGGCTTCTTCATAAAAAAAATTTAATTCAAGCGCAAGTGGCTTTCAGTTACGTAGGGATTTACATCTCATCGTTGTTGCTTGAACGGTCAAAATTGTCAACCTTTCCTTTTCCTGGTTGTTTTGGAAAGTCCTTTCGATCTCCTTGAATTGTTATTTTGAAATGCTATATATAAATCCCATTATGCATATTTTGGACCATCTGGAGTGAGAGGAACAATGTTTGTTTTGAAAATAAAAGAAATTAGATTTCTAGTATCAAAAACTCTTGTCTACATAACTTGTTTTTTTGGTGTAAGAGGTGTCTGTTAGAGAACATGGATCAGTATATGGAATTTTTGGATTTGCTAGGAAAGATGTAATTGGAGGTTTCTGTAGATGTTGTCTGGTACTTTTATGTAATTTTCTGTACCGTCTTGGTACTTTTATCAATAAAACTTTACCTTATCAAAAAAAAAAAAATCTCTGCAAATGGTTGGATGAGAAAAACTTAGTAAGATCTTCTATGATCGCATAGGCAGATTAAATAATATCTGCAGATGGATTTACTTTATAGGTGCATTTGTCAGACAGCTGGATGTTAGTTGGAATCCTTATTGTCAAGTTCAAAATTTGGGTTTTTGTCATAACCATTAGATTATTGGAAAAAATTTCACTACATGTTGGTGTGTTACAGTTATTATGAACCTATTGCCTAAGTCTCTAATTTTGAAAATGTTGCCTCAGTTTGAGATCAGGGAGCACCGGCTAAGGTTTGCTGATCCCAACATATCAGGTTCATATACACATAAGGAGGTATGTGGTATAGGGTCTCCATCATGTCTGTTAAATTTTCTGCACTTTAGAGTTCTGAAACAAGTTTGTGCAATTTATCAATTGGCTACTTAAATGGCAGGATACTGTTAGCATTTGCAAGAGGAGGGGTGGAGGTGATAACAGAGGCTTGACGCATAATCAGTGGTTACAAAGTGTGCATCGGGAGCCTGATGTGATGTCAATGTCCTTCATCCCTATAACCTCACTGTTGAATGGCATCTCAGGAAGTGGATTTTTGAGTCATGCTATAAATCTGTACTTGCGCTGTAAGTTAGAGGACGATATTTGTTGTTTTCTTGCCTCTAACTTCTATGCAATATAAGTTTTAGACTTCTATGTGCAATCTACATTGCCAAATGTAACTTTTCCATTTGATAGTTATTGGCAAATGATACAAGGGAGGAGGGCCTGCTGCTTTCCTGCTAATTTTGCAGCTTTCTGATTTAAATAAGTTTGTACTCTCAGCAAATAAAGGATATTATCAAAATAAGAGGGAGGAGTGCAGAGCGTGCTAATTATCCTAAAGAATGATGGCTATTTAAATGCCTGCATTTTCTCAAAATATTAACATCTCATTTGTTCATGGAATATTTTTTAAATCTTGCAAAAAGTTTTTCGAGAAAAAAGAAGAGAGTAAATCTTTTTCCACTCATAAAGCTCTTATAAATCTTCAAAAATCTGCAGTTATCTAAAACCCTTTTCTTTATGAACTTTTGTCATTATTTTTCAAAAAGCTTTTTCGAATTTTTTTGAGACGGCTCCTAAGAAATTTGATAGTCAATTAACTACATCTGGATGTTTATTATGATTACCGGGAAATATGCTTTACCCTTATGTAAAGTGTTGTCTATTATGCAGATAAACCACCAATTGAAGAGCTTCACCAGTTTTTAGAATTTCAGCTGCCAAGGCAGTGGGCACCAATCTTCAGTGATCTTCCGCTTGGTCCTCAGAGAAGGCATTCAAATTTTGCATCTTTGCAGTTTAGTTTATTGGGTCCCAGGCTTTATGTGAACACCACTCCGGTGAGCTCACTTAATTTTAACACCTCAGTTTGAAATTATATCCTCTTTGTACTCCTTACACAACAACACCAACTTAAAATAATCCTGTCATCTTCCTGAAGTTATACACGATTAACATTGCATACCACACTGCATACCAAGGGGAAAGCTACTTTTTATTTGGTGCCTTGGTGTTTCATATATTCTTTGACACCGCCTTTTTCCCCGTTCTTCGGCTAACTCCGTGTAATGTGATCTCACAGTTATGGATTTCGCTCTCGACCCTCAGTATATCATCTTTGTCTCCCCATCTTACCTTAGTAGCCATCATAAGTATTCCACAGGAACTCTTCAAGTATGCTCCCTCAAAGTTATCTATCAGATCATACATCCTTCTTAAAGTGTATCCTATTTCCCATTATCAACAATATAGTCAACAGATTTAGTAAACTTTTCCTTGCCTCTCATAATCCCTTTTTAGCAAATTCACCCCATTAGAGTTTGTCACCTCACCCGTGACCATCTATTATAAAATTCCCTACTGAATGTCTATTATCTTTTTTCCATAAATCATTCTCCTCTAGAACAAATCTAATTATTTCCCTAGTATCACCATGTTAAATGAAGACAATCTAAATCCTAACCCCAAATGAACTAGGGGTTCTTGTACTTCTCCAATCTTCCAAATAAAATTTCTTCTCCCCCTTCTTTCCTTCCCACAAAAAATCTCTTATCATTATCTCTGATTTGTTTGTAACCGTTCAAGGCATATAAATCAGGAGACATTTATTGGTGGGTATGTTAGAAAGGTCAACTTCAACTATGACATCTTTTTTTTCGGTAGGATTTGGTTGTATTTCTCCATATATTTAATACACATGATCCCTAGTAATAATATCTTCTCGAAGGGATGTGAGACTATAACATTAGTTCTTCATTTAAATAACAATGTATGCCCCAGTGAACTATTATGGGTGGAGAGCAGCTTGGAGTGTACAGCTAACTGTTCTCAATCTTTCAGAAAGGTTGTTTCTATTAAGTTCCATTTAAGTTTTAAGTTAAGTTCACTGAGCAACAACAGATGGCCTCATTAGTTTCTTTTGGTCTTGTACCGAATGCTTGGGATCCGGAAAGGAAGGAAGTGAAAACACTGTTGAAAAGTCTGCTTACTACCTTCTTTCAAGGCGTCCATGTGATTCATATTTTTCATTGCAGGTTGATGTTGGCAAGAGACCAGTGACTGGACTTCGTTTGTACCTTGAAGGTAAGAGAAGTAACCGCTTAGCTGTCCATTTGCAGCATCTCTCATCTCTTCCTAAAGTCTTCCAGCTTGAAGATGATCCAAATGGAAATTTTCATCGAGAATCATATGATCGCAAATACTATGAAAAAGTTCAATGGAAGAACTTTTCTCATGTCTGCACTGCTCCTGTTGAATCTTATGAGGATCTTAACATTGTTACTGGAGCACGATTGGAAGTTGGGGACTGCGGGTTTAAAAAGGTCCTCTTTCTGAGACTCCGCTTCTCGACTGTCATGGGAGCTACTATGGTAAAGCACCCAGAGTGGGATGGTTCCCCTGGGTTGGCCCGCAAATCTGGACTGATATCAACTCTCATTAGCCAGCACTTTACATCAGTTCAGAAGCCACCTCCGCAGCCAGCTGATGTGAACATAAATTCCGCCATTTACCCTGGTGGTCCTCCCATTCCTGTGCAAGCCCCTAAGCTCTTGAAATTTGTCGATACTACTGAGATGACTCGAGGACCACAAGAACCTCCTGGTTATTGGGTTGTTTCCGGTGCAAGGCTTATGGTTGAGAAAGGAAGGATCTGTCTGAGGGTCAAATATTCCTTGCTTACTGTAATACAACCCGACGATGAAATACCAGAGTAAATGAGAATAGGTTCTCTTTTTATGCTTAGACAGAAAATCAACTCTAGAGGGAGAAGTGGCAGGCAGCATAGTTTGTTGCTGACTTTCTCGATGTTGAAACGCCTGTTGTATAAACCTGGTGAAAGTGCCAAAAATGGGGATAGGCAACTGTTTGTACTTTGAGATGTCTGTAATGTTTGCTCTCTTTTGTTTCAAGCTAAATGTAAATCTTGACAATGTTGGTTGTAATATAATTTTAACTTATTTTCTCTCAAATATGTGTCATTGCTGACTTTGGTGCTAAACCAATCAGGAAAATCAACTATTATTTGGTTGAGATCAACTCTAGCAAGAATCCTGTGTGGGTAGAGTGAGAACTTGAGTATGACTTGCAAAAATTTGAAGCCACAGGTACAATGTATTTCGATTTTCATTTTTTGTTTGGTGAGGTTATCTATGGAAGTTATTCTTTGTTCTCACATTGCAGTTTTCAAAGGCTAAGGTTTGATATCCATTTCAGATTCATGCACAAAACATTAGCCATAATCTTAGAATTAAGCTGATAGAAGTAGAATGAAGTGCACAAGCTGAATTGGCAAAAAAATTGGTAAAATATTACATAGTAAAAGAAGCTTACTCCAAATGAACAAAGTGAAAACTTAGCCTACTGAACTTCAGCTGATATACAGCAGCCAAATCTTCCCCACTTCTCACATATTGGAAGAGACAAAACTAAAAAGGGGAACTCAGTCAATAGACGGGAAAAAACGAATTTATGTTACACCAAAACAATCCAACATCACCCCAAATTTTCCTTCTTCCTAATGTGCAAAACTTCAGTTTTCGTCCGACAGCTAATTTACATGTCAGAGGAGTGTAACAGAGTGCTAGATTATGGAACTGGTGAAATTTTTTAAGATTACATAAATATTCTTTTGAGGATTTAAATATATGATAAAAAAATTAACTAGTCTTTTAGAATCATTAAGAGAAGGGGAAACTATGTCCATGGGAAGGCCAATAAACCCCTTCCCTTGGACAAGGCAGTGGAGTTGGCTTGGCAATGAAGGTAGGATACTGTTGTCCTGGCATCAAAACTGTGTAATCTGACGGATATGGTGTTTCTACCTGTGTAAACAAAAAATAATGATTAATCAGATTGGTACTTTGATCTTCAAAACTAGATTTGCATCTGCCTTTTTCATATTCATAATTTTCTTGAATGGTTGCAGAAAATCTATTTGAGTTGAGTATTAGCTCATTCTTAGACCTATAAAGCAAGTGGAGGGAAAGATGTTTGAACCAAAAGATGCTCTAGAGAAGCGAAAGGTTTTGATGTAACTTGTCAACATCCTTTTTCAGGAAAAAAAGAAAAATACAATTGTTTCAAGCCAGTTGAGGAGCTTACTGTTTGTGAACTTGCACGTTTCTGAATCGAGCCCAACTCCAAGGAACTGTTTCTACTATCTTGAGCTGAAGAGAAGGGGGGGCTAGGCTTGAAGAGATGTTCAAATATGGCCATAATGAGAAACATGGATATGAGGATAGCTGTAGCAACAAAACCAAAAGAAATGGCATCCATTGATGTCCCAAAGTTCTTCCATTGTCCTTGTCTGTTAACTTGTGTTTGGGAAGGACTAGGTTCTGAAATTGAGTGGATGTTCCACGGTTTTGATCTTTCTGAACCAAATCGTTCACTCATACTCATATCAGCTTGTTTCACTGATCAATCTCTAGAAAATTGAGCCAAAGAGTGCTAGCAGCTCATAAGTGAAGCAGTAAACTAATTGGAATAGTTGGTTTAGCTATAAATGCCTGTCAAACAAAAGAAAAGGCAAAGAGGCTGATACCAATGCACTTGAAAAATCACTAAAATTTCAATAAATATTAAGTTTTGAACCCATAATTGCACAAGTGCTATGGGTTCAACGTGAGAACATAAAGGTTGAACTCTGAAGTTTAAATCATGAATCCGCCTCTGCTTGAATATCAGAATATATAAGGATCTATCTTAGATATTATCCTCTGTGTCTCTAAGGCAAAGAGGATTAACTAATGCTAGCATATAATGGCATTTTGTTTGTACATTTCAAAGAGAAGACTCCTTATTTCATCATAAGAATTTAGAACTTCTACTCTGTGTGATAAAGCTCAAGAAAACAACTTCATGGTAGCAAATGTTGGTTTTTAGCTTTGAAGTCGAGAGATATCAAGAGGTTTATTTCAATTCTGAAAATATCATGGTCATATTTTCTTGTTTTCATTATTTTATCATGCAAATGATGATCTCCAGAGAAGTAGTTTAGTAGAAAGTAGAAACTATTAACACCATTCCCTTTATTGAAACACATAATCTTACTTCAACATCAAGTTGTTGGTTTTTCCACATTTGACTGTATTTATGCTGTTAAGGATCAGCTTTTAATATCAATTTCCCATTTTTGTAACACTCTAAGAATAATATCACACAACAAGATTCTCAATTATCACATAGGAAATTCAGGAAAGAGATAATGATAAGACACTTTGAAGAATAGTAGGAAAACAACACAAGAATCTAAAATTTTGGGGTTCAAGAATTGGGCTAGTTTCAGATTATTACCTTGAAGGGGACTCAATAGGGGTCTCAATCTTGGTCTGTGATGTTATCTATTTGGAACCAAGAATGGTGATGAACAACCATATGTTTGAAAGAGATTCAATAGGAATGGGTTTAATCCTGAGAATGAGAAAGACTAAATATTGCGGACTTCATATTCTATATGTTTCATGTGATGGAAGAAACAGACAGACACATGACTCCAATTCTACTGAAGAACACAGCTCAAACTAGGTGGCTTTATACCTAGCAGGAAAGAAATATAAGGACAAAATTATATGACAATCTTAGTTAGTATGACTTTTGTTTGTGTATAACTTATATACATATTGATAATGTAAAGAATTTGTGCCCTATCAGTGTATTTTAACTGGTTATAGCAGGTTATTGGTGCATTCTTTATGTTATCAAATCAAGATTATTTTAGACACCTTGCTATCTATCGTTGTATGTAATCTTAACATAATGGCGTAGAAAAATTATATATGGACAATGCACAAAAGTTAAACTTTTTTTATTTTGTTGTCTTTTATTTTACCTTTCTTTTCTTATGTTTTTTGTTGTTCATGATCTTGATGCCAAACTTAATCAATACTATACCTATGTTTGGACATTTAGGGAAGCCAACTTAAAGAAATCAAAAAGTGTTGGCCCTCCTGTCTGTATACCCTAAAGCAAAGGGTGACCCCTCTTGATGCTTGCAAAAGCATTCACTTTCAAGATACCATTATTGATGCTTCTTGTTATCTAAATTCAACCCTATTTTTCAATTTTTAATTGCTAATTATATTCTGATTCAAACTATATATACTTACGGTGTAAAATATTTTTGTATTATAGTGCAGTTTTATCTGTTGCATCAATTTACCTACTTTAATTTCAAGGTAATTCGTTCCACTTATCAAGAATAGTGGCAAGACCAGGATTTTTACCAAGGGCATTCAAAATAAAAAAAAAATTAAAATATAAAAAAAGTTAAGGGGATTCAACATATAGTATATGTACATAAAATTATTTTTTTAACCTTATAACACACTGTAATTTTTCGGGTAAGAGGTGTCAACTAACACACCTCATGTTTCGCTAAAATTCTATATTTTTGCATGTAATTTGCCTTGGTCTTGTTAACTTTGGTGTGAATATTTGTGACTCGAGCTTAATTATGGTATTTTTATGTGCATGAGTCAATTAGAAGTGATTTGGGAAATTTGCATGCAAATTGACGTCAAAAAGGGAAGAATTTGGAGGAAGTATCAGTTGGTGCCGAGGAATGCTTGGACATGAGTTGGAGAAAAGTTGCACGAAATGGTACCTTAGAGCTACAAAAATAGAGCAATAAAAGAAGACGTATAAGGCAATGAAAAGTCATGGCCATAGACAATGTAAGGCTTTGTCCATGGCACCGTCATTGGCGCCCCAGACAATGTCTTGTGCAAAAACAATGGCGCCATAGACAGTGCCTCGCGCAGAAATATTGGTGCCCCAGACAGTGCCTCGCGCCGACGATGCCATCAGAGCAAATTTTAATTCCTCACTAGTTTTGGACATGTAGACTTCGGCCCCTACCCTATAAATACTTCTTAAAGTTAGTTTTTGAATGGTTGGACATTTTTTTGAAGGCAAGAACATCACGTGGAACAACATTTGGAGGAGAAAATCATCGAATTCTTCATTCCTTCGTCTTTGTTTTGTAATTTGTTTATGCAAAATACTTGAAAAATTGTTACTACAAACATGAGTGGCTAAGCACTCTAGTTTCTAGGGTTGTGGTTGTCATAATTATTAAAGTTTATTAATTACATCTTCGTTAATTCGGATTATCATCTTGTGATTGTTTCTTTAATTTTAGTTTTAACTTGTGAATTGTTGTAGCTACCAATTCACCCTACTATCTATGCTATGCTTGGGAAAGCCATATTTAGATTAGAGTAGAATTAAAGAGAGCTTGTTTTTGAATTCGTGGCTCGGGAACGATTTCGCGGTTAAGATAGGAATATACTTAACAGTCTTGCTTAGTTAAAACCCGTATTATATTCGTTCATGATAGACTCAATATCATAGGAATATAGGATTGATATATTGTGGATATACGAGTAGTATTGTGGGAACATGCTACTCATATAAACGATCTGGTCAATTAACAATCATTGCTAATCTGGATTAACAAGTGTGATTACTGAACTCAATAGGATTGATAAACCGACCATAACCCTGGAATCTTCATTTCCTCTTAGCAAAATCCAAAACACACATTCGCATCCCTGATAAATTAGCTAATTACTTATTCAATATTTGCAAAAGTAGTTTAGTAGATAAACAACATTTTTGATTATCTTGGACAGTTAATTGATTTTAGTTTGCTTAGTTAACGATTAATCTAAATCTCTGTGGGTTTGACATCTGGCTTTCGAGTCACTTTATTACTTGACGGTCACGTATACTTGCGTGTACTTGGGGAACCAATAAGTTTTTGGTACCGTTGCCGGGGACTTAGTTATTGCTTATTTATCTAAGTTAAGCTTTTAATTGATTTTGGTTCAAGTTTTTAATTTTCTTATTTAGTTAGTATTATAATTTCTTTTACATGGCATCTTGGAATGAAAATTATTTGAATAATGGTTATTCATAATTTGATGATCCTTGTCCACATTGTGGAGGACCCCACTGGTGAAGCAATTATCGACATATTCTCGTGAGCGAGTTCGGTCTATAATATCAATCCTTTGAGTGGAATATTGTAATATGTGTGGTGGTCAAGGTGGCCATTGGGATGACTGTTCTAATTCTTTTTATCCTTCTTCGAGCCCTTATTATGATGTTTCTGATAATTTTTGTGAGTTTGATAGGAACAAAGTGGAGAATGTGGAATATGATGCCTAGACTATGGACCTATTGAGGCAATTAGTGGAATAAACTGTTGAACGCCGAAAAGATTTTGAAAATCTCAATGAAATAATCAAGAGAATGGAGGCTAAAGTGAGTGAAATGACTAAGCCTTATACGATCCAACATTCAATTGTAGAGGATAGTGGTCACGAGTTTTGTGATGTTGAAGAAGAATTTGAGAGTCGATCTGTGGTGCAAGAAGTAGAATTCCAAGAAGTACATGATATCGAACATGATGCATGTATTAGGGATATACTGAATCCAGTAGCAGAGCAACATGATGAGCTCAAGGAAGCTATGAAAAAAATGAGTACATCAGTCACAGAATGAAGGCCAATACAGAAGACTTTGATGAAGAGAGTGAGTTCCATCAAGAGGAATTTTTTTAAAGAAGTAGAGATTTTGAGCCAAACTTGGCTAATGGAACAAACTGAATGATTAGAAATATACGAGGCTCAACGTGAGAAAATTATTGATGTGATGAAACACTTCATATAAGGAAGAGCTGAACTGGGACAAGAGATCGAACAATTTGGTACTGTTGTTCACGACTTGGGAGCTCAATTGAGTATAAAGGTTGATGCGTCTAATGCCCAATAAAATAGTTATAAGTTGTGTGAAGATGAAAATGAGCTTATACGCCAAATTGAGGAGCTAAAAGTGGAGAATCAATCATTCGATCATGCTTTTGTTGATGATGCCGAAGTTGAGAAAATTGCATTAGAGTCAAGTGAGGAAGCTAATAATATTATTATTGATGACTTTAGTGCGATTGAAAGTGAGGATGTCAAAGATAATGTGATTCTAGAGTTGGGGCATATTGGTCCTCATTTTGTGCATTTTCGATATTGTGTTTGGAGGATGATATGGAAATTGAGTCATTCGAGCCTTTGGAAGGGCCAACAAACGAGGAACAAGCTGCTTACATTCTTGAATTTATCGTGCGAGAGAGACATAATTACATACCTCATCTGAAGGCCAAGAAGTGTAGAATGTGAAATTGGCTACTTTGCCCAATTACATTTGTCCCACCACCCCGCGAGCATAGCAAAATGCTTGAAGCCAAATTGAGGACTCAATTCATAAGTTCGAGATGGAGACAAAAAATGCTTCAAGTCGGGCCGCGACATTAAATCAGGCGCTTGTTGGGAGGCAACCCAGCTTTACTGCTTTCTTTTATTTTTATTATATTATTTTTGTAGTGTCTGTTTTTATTTTGTAGGATTATAAGGATAGGAAGCAAAGCCATTGGAAGAGTGCAAAAGCGAGCTAGATGGTAAGAACTAAGTGTGGAGTGCTCACACAAAGGACCATGTCTGGGGGGAGTCTAAGTACCCCGTGAGCCGCTATTGCTTCAGCCTTTAGCATTTTAGGGAGTTTCTTGTCCACCCTCGTTATTATTTTACTTTATTTGTGCATTGGGGACACTGTACTCCCTTAAGTGCGGGGTGAAAGAATTCCTCTAGATAATTAGTAGTGGTATGTTAGAAAAATGTTAACTTCTGATTTTGATTTTAGCTTCTTATTTTTGTTTTCGTAGTTGTGTAGTATTTTAGTAGCTCCTAATTTTTTTAAAATGTGAAAAATAAGAAAATTCGAAATAAAAAGAGGTAGAAAAATTAGACTTTTCCCGACGATGGATATCCTAGGCAGTTTTCTTGAGGGATTAAAATCTAAACAAAAATCCAAAAATATGTCTTTTAATTTCCTTTAGCTAGTAAAAATCCCATGTGATTTTTCTTTGTACCTCGGTTCTTTTTCATGGGATGTAGTTAGAACCGAGTAGTAGTTTTTTCTTTTATTTTATTGTTTTATAGTAGGACTTAGGAAAAAAATGGAGGATGAAAGATGAGATTCCTAGGCGCTTTTGACTTGTTTGATAGTAGCATATTTAGGCTTTGGCATGTGTAGTATCTTCCCTATGTTTTGAAATTGATCATGATGCCTTTAAAAATTGGATGGCATGTCTCGTGATGCCTATATCTCATATTCTTGACTTATGTTCACTTTGTGCTTAATGCTTAATATCTTGTAGCTCCGTGAATACTTGCATTAGTTTGAGAGTCGGAATGAGACCATCCTTAGTGAGTCATGTGCTATGTGTAGAGTGAGACTTTTGTGTAGTCCGTGTCATTGCACTTGTGTCTATAACTTGCCCCGTATGTGAGTCGAAGCGAATTTTTAGGTGAGGCTCGATTTGAAAAATGATTTTAGGTTGTCTTTGTTATTTTTGAGCTTAATGCAGATCACAGATAAAATTTGTCCCTAGTTAACCCTTTTGAGCATATAAACTTTTATTTGGCACCCACATTACAAGCCTATTCCCGTTTGTTCTTAATTGACATTGTTTTAATTTTTTTACCTC